TGTCATTACTGTGGTGTCCTTGGTTTTGATGCAGTGTTGTGGAAAATTTTTAGTGGATGACGATCAGGAAGGAATATAGAAGACAGATGATTTTACAGATCTGCATTGCTGTTTTGTAAGGTTGTAGTTTTAGGAATCCGGTTTGTTTTCTAATCTTAGTGGTTCTGTGTAGCTGTATCTTTTCCTTGCTGATATTGCAAATTAGAAAAGAAATTGTTATATTCTGTGATTTAGTTTCTCATAGCATGCATGGTATGTGCACACTGGAGAGCTATTGGGTATAGGTGCAGTTTTATTCAGCTGTCACACACAAGGTACACTTTGTACTACATAGAAATGATAGAAATAATAAAGAGCAGAGATCTTTATTCCTAATTGCTTCCATTCCAAATTGGAACTAGTGAAGTTATTGGATATAGGAGAGAGAGAGAGAATCCATATCTGGTCAGAACTAGACATTTTCGAGATATCCCTACCAAAATTGATGCACACTGGCACACCAGGCATAATGCACCTACAAATTCAAATTCTCATAGAAAAGTACTATCTTGTGTTACCTGATTTCATGGGAGAGGTAGAAGTCTATTGATAAAAAAATAGAAATTTATGGTTTGCAGCAAATTTACATGAAAGATTATTTGGTATCTTCCAACTTCACCTTTGTAGGCAGCTGTTCGTAGTGAAGTATATGGCAAAAATGCTATTACTGAAATGTAAGTTAGGATGCAGTCAGCTCAATGTCATCATGAAAATAATGTATTTTTATAGTAATTACAATTGGCTTTCCATTAAATGTTGAATTGTATATAAACCTATAAACCTTAGAAACCTATAATTCTCAGTAATATGCACAAATTGAAAATCAAACTATTAAACCTTTAATAAGTTGTCCTTTGCATTATTGAATTACAAATTACTAATATTTCAATCATACATAAAAATGGTGGTTGGTACACTCCTAACAAATGCTTTCCAGTGAGGCTTATCATAATATATATACTATTTAAGTTTATTTTTTGATTATGTTATGCAGTATATGGTTTCCTATTGAAATACCCATAAGATAATAAATGCAAACAGTTTATAAGTGATGAAGGAAAGTATATTAAAGTCATTTATATAGAGAAGACAAGAAAATAAAAAGTCTTGGTGATAAGAGGGATTTTAAACATAAGAAAAAAGAGTAAAACATCAAGAGACTACAGTGTTACTGATAAGATTTTCTCAGTAGGAATTACTTGTGTCAGCAGGGAAAGTAGATAATGTAGTCAGGCTTTAGTAGACAGTAATGACTAAGTTTGATGTTGAGATACCATATAAGATTTATTCTAATAAAGAAAAAAAACTGTGTAGTAAAAAGTAAAGTGAGAATGAGTCAGCCCAGAGTAATATTTTTTTATAATTACCTTTTTATTACTTATTAGCTTTTGTAATATTTGAAGCTTTACTTCTAGCCTATGTAAGTGTATAAAGGTTATATTATACTGGTTGTTTTCTCTCCAAATCCTCTTACAGCTTACAGTGGTCTGTAATCAGAATGTGGAGACCAGTGTGATAGTGTTGCAAAATAGAGTTTAGACAGGATATTGTTTGATAATAATTTGGCAGGGGTGGAGGGGTCTACAAGTTTTATCGTGTCATCACCTGGTTTCTTGGCAGGTGATGACTAGGAGGCTTTGCTGATTAAGTGCAAGGCCAATTGCAGGCTTGTGGGTATCTGCCTGTTATGCTAGCAACATTGATATTGGTAGTAATAGGGCTACACACTAGAGCTAGATTTATAGTTTGATGATACCCTAAGAACAGTCAAATAAATATGCCGTGACATATAGTATATCAGGTGTAATTTTGTAATAAGATTGAAGGCTGGTTTATCAGGTTTATTTAAATAAAGTATAATTAGAGATTACTGCTGTCTTGATATATTAATGAGCCCTTGCAGTAAATCTGTAATTGACTAATGGTTAATTGAGGACTGATGTATGTGATGTATGTGTGTGCACCTGCACACGCACACGCACACACACACGCACATGCACACGCACACGCACACGCACACGCACACGCACACGCACCCTCACCCTCACCCTCACCCTCACCCTCACCCTCACCCTCACCCTCACCCTCACCCTCACCCTCACCCTCACCCTCACCCTCACCCTCACCCTCACCCTCACCCACTCACTCCCTCTCAAAACCACTAACATTCACACTCACACACACACTGATGCCCATATGCATAACCATACTCATACCTATGTTCACCCACATCCTCACTCACACGCACACCCTACATCTACACTTACACCCCATATCTAAACACATACTCACATTCACACTCTCACTCACATTCATTCTCCGACACACTCATACTCACTCTCATACTTACACCCGCATTCACACCCACTCACACCCACACTTACACCCACACTCACACCCACACTCACACCCACTCACACCCACACTTACACTTACACTCACACTCACGCTCTCACTCACACTCTCACTCTCACTCACACTCTCACTCTCACTCTCACTCTCACTCACACTCTCACTCTCACTCACACTCTCACTCTCACTCACACTCTCACTCACACTCGCACCTACACCCACATTCGCATTTGCATTTGCATTTGCATTTGTATTTGTATTCACAGTTGCAGTCGCATTCACATTTACATTTACATTTACATTTACATTTGCATTTACATTTACATTTTTATTCACAGTCACATCCATATTAACACTTGCACACACACTCATATTCACACTCACACCCACACTTACACTCAAACTCACACTCACACTCACACATGCTTATGCCCACACCTATACCTGCACCTACACCTACACCTGCACCCACACCTACACCCACACCTACACCCACACCCACACCCACACCCACACCCACACCCACACCCACACCCACACCCACACCCACAACCACAACCACACCCACACCCACACTCACACCCACACCCACACCCACACCCACACCCACACCCACACCCACACCTACACCCACACCTACACCCACACCTACACCTACACCTACAACCACACCTACACCCACACCCACACCCACACCCACACCCACACCTACACCTACACCTACACTCACACTCACACTCACACTCACACCCACACCCACACTATATACTGTACTGATATTCCTTTCTGACCCTTACAGTTTGTGTAGAGCCAACATGGCTCCAGTGAAGAGGCCTCATGTCGTGTGTTGAGATATTTGGGTTCGTGTTGAATGAGACGCTGTGTCGCACCAGCCGGAAGAGGAAGCACGACCCAGTCATGTTTTCAAGGATATCAGACGCACTGCAGGCTGCAGCTGATGTGGTATGAGTTTGGGGTATATGATGTAATATAATGATTATTTTTTTTATTATAGTTAAATGAGTAAGGGTAACTATTTTTTTTTTTTTTTATATAAACTAGATATTGAAATGTTTCCTCATATAATGCAATAAGATCAGATATTGATATTATACGCTGATGTTTAGAGTAATGATATACTTGATATGTATCGTAAGGTTGCTCCACCGTGTCCACGTGTCGAAGATCTGCGCTACCACTGGACGCAGCTATCAATTATTTGCCAAAGATGTCAGCACAACGAGGGTCAGACTCCAGCCATCGAGGAGACGCACGTCCCAAGACACTTGACACAGATGCTCAAGGTACAAAAGATGTATTGATTCTGGCAGAAGGAGTAACTTCACAGAACATACTCAAGATGAAGAAATAGACTTTGCCTTTCACTTTTTGTATTGATGTAGTATCTCACAGTTGTCTTCTTTGTTCTTTTGTTTGGCAATATTTCTGCACTTGATGTTTGGTTCAAGTCTCTCTTTTCAATCTTTGTCTTTTTTGTCTGAGGTGTTGTATATACTATATGTTTTATGTGTATGCCTTTTTTCTTTAAGATTATGTGGGATTTTCATGATTTCATTAGTTTCTTTTTTGTTTATTGCATCTTTCTCTTTCATTAATTTTAGATCTTCTCTTATTCACATCCATCTCTTTCATTGTATTATTGAAAGTGTCTCTTTTGTTTTTTAACCCAATGCTGACGGGAATGACATGCACATGTATGCTATGCCCACTGTGAGTTTACTTTTGTAATTGTTTTTACGAGTACTGCCTGTCTTGCCTGTTTACCCTTTTCTTTGATTTACGAAAATATTTTATGTTATCTTACATATGTTACTAATGTTTATAACATTTTAGTAATTATAATGTTTATAATAAAAATAACACTATCAATATTCATAGGACCAGTAAAAGATGCATTTTTCCCACCAATTCAAATCAGTTAAGGTCACAAGGTCTACTTTGTGGCTAAGTACTAGCAGAGCCATCTATATGCAGAGACATTTCACAAAAAATATAAAAAATGAGCACAGCATTTTCCCTATTTTTATTCATTTTCCTCGATGGTATTGGGTTAGAAAAGAAAGTACCAGAATTTCAAAATGATTTTTACAAAATACTTTTCCTACTCCCAGATGTTGGTGGCTGAGGAGAGGGAGCAACGTGTGGGTGGGCCACTGAGTCCCTGCATGGAATATCTTGTACAGGAGAAAGTGCTTGCCACCTTAGCCTCTCATGCCAGGGCTGATCGTCCTCTTGGGATCCGACAGCATGCATATGTTTTCCTGGTTGGGGTGCTGAACCATCTCCACCATTCCCACCTGCATCATGGTCCTGTGCACAAGCCACTTCAGGTATGCAGACAAAAATGTTATCTATTCCTCTTATCTGACCGTGGCATAGAAATATAGCTGAATAAGTTGAATTACCCATTTAATTTGTTATACATACAGGATAGTGAATATAGATGTATATAGTAAGTAAAGGCTTAGATGTCTTAGAGGGCTATCACATGAAGACAGATGTTATAGAATACAATCTGTTCTCATCATGTAATATGGATCCATTCAGTCTGTACCTGTTTCAGTACAGTAAAAGTTTCATTGTCACTTTTTATTGTGAATTTCTGTCTATGCAGATTGTGTATGATGAACATTTGATATTTTTATTCCTGAAAGTTATTTTTGTTTGCTATTTTTAATTTTTGCAGGTGATGGTAAAAGCTAGCTGTGAAATGAGAGCATCACCCTATGAGCATGAAGAGATGGAATTCCTGTCAACTCTTTGTGAAAAAATTCGACAGGATAGTAGTATCATCCTCTTGTACATTCAGGTACATTTGCTTTTTCCGTATTAATTTGAAAACCTACTGGTAATTATATTTTCTTCCTTTCTCTTGTCTTTCATTCTTTTCCCTTTAATATCTCCCCTTTGGTTTTTGTAATATCATTTTGAATTTTACTCTTCAGCCAATAGCAATAACTGGTGGAGTCCCCAGTGGATTCACACCAGATGACAGCTTCCCTCCAACCCCTACACATGAAGTTGCAAATGGCACATCTGCTGACGAACAGAATTCATCAGCTGGACAGAAATCACAGCCAAAATTTCCTCTTGTCGATGCCCTATTGAACATGTGTCATAGTGCAGTAAGTACAACAAACTTCATGATTTGATGATATATTTAGTACAGATTTATGATTACAAATAGTGATACTGGGACTTTGTCTAGCGCATTTTAATCTCTTGTCTTTGATCCCCCAGGATTCTCGCATCTCCTCTATGGCTCATGACTGCCTTGTGTCAGTGGCCAGTATTAGACAGGGACACAGTAGTTCAACAATAGCAAGACATACCCTCCTCCCTCACTACTTGGCATCACGACTGGTTACTGCATCTGATGCTATTCCCAAGGATACAGAGCCAGCCTTGATAGAGGACATTCCACTAACAGAGAAAAGCAAGTTAGTGTGATGGGAAAGTTTGTTTAATGTGTAGGATAGTGTATAATCCTTATTCAGTGTAATTTATATGTGCTGAACTTTTGATAGAAGGGGATATATTTATGTACACCTAGAAACTTAATTATGGAAGAAAATTGAAGGAAAATGCCTCAAGCTTAGTGTATCTTACTAATACACATAAATATCTCTTCATATAATTTGTAATTCCTATTAATGAGTGATTGCAAATCCTTTGTAGCATAGGTTAGGTTCAATTTTTTAAAATGTTATAACTGTACACTATTTTATAGTAAATTTTATAGATGATCACATATGATCATTGTCCATGAAAAAAATAAACAGGATAAGGGCATATAAAGCTTAGCACTAGCTCCTCAAGTTCCCATAGATAGTGCATGTAGGCCTGGTCAAAAGGGAATAAATTATTATTTAATCCTGTGTCATAATCCTGATAATGATTTGAGAGGCTGTGAATGCTTGGACCATTTTTCCCATACACATCCACAGCTACATTTGCATTTGCTTGTGCAGTTACATTCACTTCCATTTCCACATCCACATCTACATTCTTACCCTTGCTTGTCTCCACATTTACTTTGGCATTTGTATCCTCATATGAAGGTTTCTGCTCAGGTGTTAGGTTAACAGATTTTTTGATAAGCTGTCTGCATCATGTGCTTGCTAGGTGAAATCCACATCTACATTTTATTTAATTTTTTCACACTGGCATCCACATCAACAATGATGTAGACATTGACATTGGCATTAACATTAACATTGACATTGACATAGACATTTGTACTTGCATTCCCATCTATATTTAGAATCAAATTCACATCCACACCTATATTCAAATTTACAATAAAATTTGCATTCATAATTACCTTCACTTAATCATCCAGTTCCAAATCTATATCCACATCTATATTTACATTAACATGTACATTCACATCCATATCCTGATCCACATCCACATACAGATCCATATCCATATCTATTAACAGTCACATGTTTATCCACATCTTCATCAATATTCACACCTACATCTATATTCACATCTGCATTCACATTCACATTTCACATTCCACATTGTTGTTCATTCCTACACCCATATCTCTATACATTCACATCCTTATTTACACCCACATCAGTATCTACATCTACATGCAAATTCATATGCACACCAGTATCTGCATCCACATTCACACCAAGACCTGCATCTACATTCATACCCATATATGGGTCTACATCCATGTCTTTTTCTAAAGCCACATGCACATCAGCATACATCTACTTTCTCTTGTTAGTTTTTTTTTTGTTGTTTATTAGGGTTGGGGTGCATGGGACACATATATTTAAAGTTCAGCCTGAATATGCAGTTTTGAAATGTACAAATGTGTCCATATTTTAGTATATTGTTAGATGAAACTCTTGATGCAAAATTTTCCAGTTTTAAACATACTATGGCAGTGTTATCAGTCATTATCAGAGGTATGTTCAACAAAGATGTTTTGTGTTCCAGAGGAGATGCCTTGGAAGGGAGTGATAGTGAAGAGGAAGATGATGTGGGAGAATTCCCAGGGAGAAGAGAAGTGATTGCCTTCTTAAATTGGCTAACATTCTGTGATAAGGTGAGGGATGCAATGTA